GAGCAGGTGATCCTTAACATACTCCACCTCTGCTTGTTCCCACCACTCTGGCACAGCCCTACTGAGATCATCCTTTCTGGTTTTCTCACTGTTATTTTTAATGTAATATACACCAAAAAGCATAACATAAGAAATCCTGTTGCTAAAATTAGCTGGAAAATTATAGGCTGTTTTATTGTTTTGTGCATAGTCTTCTTTTGCCTCAACGGGATTTGCATGCAGGTCTTTGAACCCCCAAAAGCCAGCCAAGTGAAGTGGTGCCTGCAGTCCTCAGCTCCAAGAGCAGAAATCTGGAAAAGGAGTATTTTATATTGACAAGGACTGGAGGCAATGTCTTAGGTTCCACCTATAGGAGAGGAAATACTGCTATTTAAAAAAAAACAAGGATTTGTAATCAATGAGATTGGGAAAATATAAATGCATGGATTATCTTTCTTTGTATTTAGTATTTAATTACAGCAGCCCATGTTTGTCTCCAGGAGTATTATCCTTGAAGCAGCACGCTAATGCACTACCTTGCTCTGAACAGGAGAAAGCACTTTGGATGTAGTCCAGATTTAACCCTGTCTTAGGGCTTGCCTTTACTCTTAACTGAAATAACAGCACACAGAATTAAAGCATCATCCTGACTCTTCCTCGGAACATGGTCAACCCTAGATGTGAGGTGCAGCTTTGAATCAAAGGGTGATGGTCATTCCCACTTGGTTCATGACTCCTCTGCCTCGCTCTGCCTTTTCAGTCGTTACAACCCACCCTTCTTTTCCATTCCTTGAGTGAAAACTGCTCAGCCACACATAACTTAAATGTGCTCTGCAAGGAGCTGCTCCTGGCTGTCAAAGGGAAGGTTCGACATATGACATCAAGTTCATTCCTGAAAAGACTCCTGTCATCCAGGCAGAATCGCAAACTCTAGCCATTTGGAGACTTTAAAAATTAAAAGATTCCCTAAACAGCTGTATTTCTTATGCAAATCCCTGACCAAATGGGACCTCGTAAGTATTAAAGAATCTTTTGTCCTCTGCTAAAAAATGATCATCTAAAAAACCCAATAATCTGGGGGGGGAGACAGGTTTTAAGAGGGCAAAACAGTCTTACAAACAGCATTTCTCCCATGTCGTGTGAACTGCTGTACTATTGTGGTTTTACAATGCTATTTCTCTACTTTCGCTGGATTTTTCTCTTTAATGTTATGTGGAAAACCCTGAACAAAAACTGGCACTTAATTCCAAGTAAACAGTGGCAGTGACTGAATAGAAACCTGATGTCAGATATACAACCACCCTGGGAAAGTCAAAATCCACTGCTTTCTCATCTCTTCCAGTTGTTGCCTTCTTAAGTGTATTATTCATAAAATTAGCAATTCAAAAATGCATCAAATCATTATTTTTTATATTCATAGCGTCACTTTGAAAAAAAATGGTTAAAAATCGATTTGCTGGCCTCTTGGGGAAATGCTGTAATGTTTTTGGCTGTCTCCTACTTTCTGCTGCCAGCTAAAAGTACCATCTGGCTTGTTTAGGGCCCTTTTCCATATCAGGTGCTTCCAAAATTCTCCCCAACCAGAGGATTGTTTCGTTGGGTTGCTTTGCCTGCTGAGGCATGTGTCCTGGGCTGGGAATCCTACTGCTTCTGTTCCCTGCCATCTTGCTGACGGTGGTGTGTGTATGTTTGGGCACGGATCTTGCTGCCTCTCTCCCGAGGACATTTGCATCATTGTCAGCTGCACATATTAAATTGATATGCAGGGCTCAGAAACACGTATCCCATCTTTTGTCCCTTTGTTTGTGCAATTGTTGTGGTTTTAATTCTTCTTTGACACCTGGAATATCACAAAGCTGCTGATAATCTGTTGGCTACTAAGGGAAATGACATTGATAGAAGGATAATGTGTGTCAGAGTTATATCTCGATAATTGCAGACACACCCTGAACCCTCGCAGCTCAGGGAATGAATATCCTAAATCCATTATTAATTTGGAGAGTAACATGTGGCAGTTGGCTGCGGTGTCATCCTCTCGCTGCAAGAGTCACTTGCAAGGGATTTTAAGGCAGTTTTGGTTAATTCTGCGTTGCTGTGTCGAGTTATGCCTAATACGAGTCAATTTTGGTACATTCTTGCTGCCATTTTGTGGCAGCATGAGGAGCTGTAACAAAATGGGGTTGATGTCTTAACTCCTCATGGAAGGAAGGCAGCTGCCCATGTGCCTTCTCCTGCACAGGAATATGATCCCAAGGAACTGAGAACTGATGCTCTATACATGGTACCAGTTGACAGTGACACCTCCTCCTCTGGATTCTTTGTTTTCCAAATTTACTTGTTTACTTAGAAATAGAAATCCACCCCCCAAAAGGTTTATGAGTAGATTTGAAGCATTGTAATTGCGGAACATAGACTTGATGTGATGGTATGGAAAGAGAGAGCGTTTTGGAATAGCTACTGCCATAAGCTGTCTTGTCCTATTTCAAAAATGATCTGTGCCATACACTGCTGACTTTTCCTGTCCATCCATTAAAAAGTGAATTATGAAGAGTGCTGACACAAACAGATAGGAGTTTAACCTTGTTAGTAAATATCAGGTAGCTGATATATACTGCTAGAATGTTACATCACAGCCTTGCTCTTCAATATAAGTTTATGAAATTATCTTGTTACTATATAAACTGCATTGGCTGGGTACACTCTTCCAGAGAGTTATTGTTTGCTGGATGTTGGCACAGTAGCACTCCGAAGAGTCAGTTCACGATGTGGTGAATTTTAAAGACTTGGGAGATGGCCATATCTATTTTTCAGCAAAGGAATGAAAGCTTTTTTTCTTTTCTTTTTTTTTTTTTTTCCCCAAGGTATTAAAAGTTTCAAAAGATGTGCTGAAATGAAAAGGAAATAATAACTAAAGTCTGGATGGGAAGTAGTGCCTCAGAGTACTGACTTTGTTTGTTTGCTTGTTTCCCCCCAAATCTTAATATTTTAAGTACAAGTTAATATTTTAAATCAAATAAACCTGTTCTGTGAACTAGTAAGATACTTGAACTATATCACACATTATTCATTTATTTTTGTGTGAGTGCAATAAAAATTTTACAAGCTGTAATCTTGTTCTTTTAATAGAGAGAAAACTATGCAGAATATGTTGCTTAAAGTATTAGATAAGCTGCAGTATGTTAATCAAATATTTTCATGATATGAGGGCAGTTGAGAAAACAGTACAATTTTTGCTAATGGCACTGGTAAGTAAACGGATCTATCATTACATTGTCATGAAAAGTGACATTGAGCAGAAACACCCTGCCAATCCCTAGAAGATAAGTATTTAATGTAATTAGACAGACACTGTCTCCTTTGTTGAACGTAGCATTAATCACCCAGAGAAGTCCAACTTTATATGAAATGGCTTTTTCTGATGTGTCTTTGTATTAGAAAGCTTCTTACATGGTTTTGCCACAATGATATATTTGAAGAAATGACTGCTTTAGCTTTACGGGTTTCCTTATGACATATCTTGCTGTTCTGTGTTTCATAATATTTAATTTTTTTTATTTAGCAATGTTGCATTATATAACTGTGACTTGTTCCTAAGTCTAGAAACCTATGTGCAATTGGAGCTGAACCTCTTTGAAGCAGTTTAATGCATTCAACTTATGAAATATAAAAGCAGCACAAATAGCTTCCGTTATGTTCTTCAGTCCTTCCTATGTGGTATTAGCACAGGTTCATTGTTATGGCATAAGTAAAATGTTTCTTGCCTCAAATGCTAGTCCGTAATATCACACACACACAAAAAAATAAAAAAACCTTCTTTTTATGAAAATCTCATTGTTAAATGGATGAAAAATGTTGCCCCCTTCCAGAATTCATTGGCACTACATTTTTTTTCTTTTTTTTTTTTTTCTCTCTTCTGTTGCTTGTAATTTGTACTGTGAAACGCTGTCTGGTTATGAACTGGTATCAATTTGAGTCAGTGCACAGCTGTGTCTTCCCACCTTCTCAGTGGTGCCGAGGGCTTTGAAGGAAAAGAATAGGGTTTAGTCGGAGATGACAGGGGACTTCACCGGGTAACAGGTGGAGGTCAAGTCAGTTTATTTGTTGGGCTGAACAGAGTGCAGAGATGAAAAATCTTTGCCATAATAAGGTTTAGGAAGAAAATGCTGACTAGTCTAAGCTTTGATTCCAGCTGACAGATCCTTTTCTAGTGTTCATTACTTGATTTCACAGTCCAGGCAATTTTAAGAGGCTTAAAATTATGTTTCTGCTCTCCTCTATAAAACTTTTTGATCACTTTCTAATTTTTTGCTTTAAGTAAAGTTATAGGGACTCCCTGATATATCACTCCTGCCTGTAGACTCTTACAAAGTCAATATGCCATAAAAATGTAAGGATAAGCTTTTTTTTTTTTAGAACCCTACTTTTACTGATTCTTTTAATAAATGGAGTAAAAAATTCACGTGTAGGCACCAATTTGATTAGAAAATTAAAACTTTCTAAAAACTCCTCTGAAAAGTGGATGTTCAAACAAGCAGGATGCTTGAGAAGCCAGTGTTCCTGTCTGGGAATATGAGATTTTTGTGTTGCTGGTGACAGCATTAATGAAGCCGCGCCAGCCCAGTGTGCTGAGTTTCAATCCCCGAGTGCCAGTGAGCCAGTGAGCTCTGTCCTGAAAGGGAGTCACAGCAAGACCCCGGAGAATCAGAGCAGAACGTCCTGACGTTGTGTGGCAGTGCTGGGACTGGGATGACCTGTCGGCATCGTTGCATGTCACTGCAGCATCACAAAGGGATTTCAGAGGGCTGAGCTGTGAGGGTGCGGGTCTCTCCTAGTTTAGTCTCCTGCCCTTCCCCGTGCCAGCTGCTGGGAGGGCAACAGAGGCATTTCTCCTTTCCCACCCTTTTTTTTCCACCACCACCTGCTTCCTACCTGCTGGAGTGGGCAGAATAGGATTATCTTTAGCCATTTGCTAAAATCTTCCCCCTCAGACTTTCTATTACTTCTGCATTCATTCTTTGCAGGAAGAGGAAACTCACTGGTCAAACCCTTGGACACCAGAATAGTTGCATGCAGTTTCCCAGGGAGCCAGATAGCTCTAAAGCTTCCCAGTGAGTGACAGTTTCTCTCTTCTATTCTTCTGAAACATGTGTTTTACACATATACTGAAAAATGTTAATATCAATTTGCAGCCAGATTCTTGCTTTTTTTTAATTAAAAAAAGAAATCAAATCTCCCAAAGTATTTACACTTAGAGCACCTCAGCACACATGTCACTTTTTTACGTAGGAAAAAGTGTTGGATGCTCTTATACACATAACATCATTGGGCTGGAAAGCTGTTAGCTCATTCTGAGTTAGTGGCAAGAACGCTGGACTTGCCAGCACCAAACTGTGAAACCTTTTCTGTGTGACTGGTAGAAATCTCATGGGGGTAGAAATCCAAAAATGGGGAGGAGGGGGGAATGTAAATCTGTGCATTTGGATTCGAGCAGCTTCAATACCGTGATATCAACTTTGTCCTAGAAGTCCTTGAATCACAAATCATTGGGAGAGTGTTTTGGAGAATTATCACTGTATGCTTTCCCTGGTCTTTTACTCTTTTCTAGGCATCCATTAGTTCCCACTGTCAGTGAGAGGATTCTGGACTAGGTGGATCCCTGTAATCTGATTTGGCATGGCTATTTTTCTGTGTTCCTAAGCTCATGAGATCAAGTTATGTAGGATTATTTCATAATGCCAGAGCAGGAGTTTCTGAGGTTCGACAAAGCTATATAGCAAAGTGTCTGATAAAAGAAAAATCCTGTCCCATACTGTAGCTTTCTTGGTCCAGTGAAGCAGCATCCTCATGCATACAAATCTTGTAAAGTTGCTTCTGATAGCTCCCTCTGTCCCTTCATTTTTGCAAGCTAAAGTGCCATTTTCCTTTTTACAGCTTAATTGAACCTAAATGCACCCATTTTCTGCGATGTGGTATTTTGGTAATTTTACTATTTGCTTGTAAGTTTTCCCTTAAGCAAACTGAAAGCTTCCCCTTTATCACTTCACTGGGCCAAGATTTCACACAGTATCCTGCTTGCTACAAAATATGATAGTGTTCTCTCTCACCTTGTTTCTTTTTTCTTCTTTTACTTTCTTTTATAAAATCAGGATATCTAAGAAACCCCGAACACCGCGGAGCACTACATGGTGGGTGTGCTTATTGAAACAATGCCAATGCTCTTGTTCTCGGTACACAGACATGTTGTGTTGGTTGGGGGGGATGTACCAGGTGTCCCTCTCGCGTGGATTCTCCAGTGTCTAGTAAGGACAGAGCTCTTGCCGAGCACTTTGCCAGAGTGACAGCGCTGGAGGGAGCACTTACATGTCACCTCTGCCCTTCCTGTGCCTGTTTTCATGGAACTTGCAGGGAGATTTTCCCTGGGAGCCCTCTGCCTCTCTGTCAGGTGTGTTTTCACTTGTTCCATGGGTGAGAGAGGTGTTGGGCAGCTCACATGAGCAGCATGGCCATCCACGGCTCTTCTGGAAATGATGCCAAAGCCAAACTGCTGTGCTCTGTCTTCCGTCCCAGAATCCTAAAGCCACTGGGAATGCAGAAAAGTGAGCCTGATTTCTTCACCTGTCTGAGAACTCACCTGTTGGAAAGCAGTTTCAGTCTCTGCTGCCTGGGAACTGCTGGTGGCAGGTCTGCAGTGCCATTCCAGTGGGGACTCACCGGTGTGCAACTGGAAATGGGCACTTCCCAGTAAAGAGCGCAACAGTTGTGTGTCACCTACAAATTATTTTTGGTGCTATGGAGAAATAATATGACTTTTCAGTCCTGTGACTCTCAAACTCAGATGGTAAAAACACCAAGAACTACCAGATAGCAAAACATAACAGTTCCATGAGTACACTCCTGAGCTGTCAAATTATAAATCTCTTGGTACAATACACGTGAATTCAGTTTGCAACATTTTCTTTCTTTGGAATAACCTATAAACTCTTCACCTCAAATTGTGCAGAAATCAGGTGACTTTACAGTCCGTGGTAAATCATCTGAGCTACTTTGAATCCTGACCACAGCTTTTTATTAATTAAAGCACATGTTCAATGGCAGTGTACACTGATTAAATCTTCAAAACCAATATTAGCACCAAACTTAGTCTTGTCATCATAAAAGTCATTTGAAAACATTACCATGCAGTAACTGAGGTCACAAGTCGAAAAAATCTGCATATTTACCCATCTCCATCTCATGCCTGGGGCGTTTTGCAGCCATCATTGTTATATATAGCCTGAGTAGCCAATGATCGTTTGATGACATACAAATAATGAGCAAACGATTTTTGAGGAAATTAAATAAATAAATAAACCCAAAAAATTCTACTCTGTCCTCTTCAGTTACTAAAATTCCCTTTAGTATCACTTGCAATTTAGCATCCATATGCATCCCAGGAAGATATAGTTGAAACATAAATCTATTCTGGGTCCTTTACTTGCAAAAATATCATACCTCAGCTATAATCATATGCAAAGACTTTTTAGAGGGCTTTGTAAATGCCATCCAAATTTATGATGGCATTTTTTGCCTTGCAGCTATAGATGTTCCATCCCCAAAGCACCCACATAAAGGTATATTCTCCTATGGATGGCTGCAGTTTGTCCCTGCTGCTATATCTAATCTGCCAAGTATGCTGAAAAACTCTCAAGTAGCATTTGAAATGAAACAAATGTAGTCATGAATTTTAGACGAGATGTCTAAAGACGTCATTAGCCTTTTTTTTTTATTCTTCTTCCAATATATATTTATACAGTGCAAAATGATGCCAAAGCTAACATTAAATCAAAGGGAAAATTGAACTGTTATCCTGCTGTTTATTACACTTCTCATTAAAGTTTTTAAATGTAAAACTCATTAAATTATATTTTTAAGAAATTGGTAGGATGTTTAGTACTAGTTTATTAGTTATTGAAAGAACTGCTTGGGTGACAGAGCAGGAATGAAGCCTAACTTAAGTGATCTAAAACATATCCAGATGATGCTGTAAACACAGATACAAACAGATAAGGTAATACACTCTATGGGAACGTTGTACCAAACAATTTGAGACAGACTTTAATGAGGTAGAATTTTAAAATAATGGGCAATATTGTAGTGCTCGGCTTTAAAATTCTGTAGGCAAAGTTTTCCATCAGTATAAATTGATATTTCTCCTTTGTAAGTGGATTAGTGCTCACTTACGAAGGAGAAATTTCAATCTCCTTTTTCCCTAAGTGACATCAGAATTTTGATTCTAACTTGAATTATCATTTTTGGCTAAAAATTGCTGAGGAGTCCAAAAGCATTTAAAACCTCAAGCCATTGAATCCATTTAATGCGCCTTTGGCACCTCTCTCTCTCTCAGTCCTTTTTGAACATTCTGGTCCTCATTTTAATCAATCTCTTTTTATTAAGTTCTTTGGCTCATTTACTTGTACGTGCATTTGCTTTATTTTATTTGGAACATTTCTTTTGTAGTGTCTTGAAAAAGAGTTGTGACATTTCTTTTGGATGGCTTCTTAAGTATCTGGCAGTCACCTATGATACGATGTTGATGGGTACGGATAGATTAGCTCTGTTTTCCTGATGATCTGTCAGATGTCGAGTTCTGAAGAAACTGGTTGTGTGTGTTGGTGATGCATATGCAGTAGTTTGATAAGTGGATAGAGGGGGAGCTTTCATTTTTCTTCTGTAAAATCACTGTTTATTAAGCTGGATTTAGCCTTGTGAAGCGAGGTGCTCGTTGGCAGGTAGTTAATCAGTGATCATGGCAACTCCGAATGCAACCAGGGGAGCCAGTATCCATTCAGAACGTAGAAACTAAAGAGCACTTCATTAGGATGAGTGAATTTCCATCTGTGTTGTATTTTGTGTATACTGGAGCAATTAATACAGTAAACTGATGGATGGCAGTTAGTGTGATTGTATCTCGGCTGATGACAAAGTTTGCGCAGCACTAAACAGAACAGACTTACTATAACTGGCAGGACTGTAGCCATCAACATTTCAAGAAGCTTGAAATTAAGGATTCCCCAGGAAAAAAAAATATAGCAGCTGATCAGCATTTTTGTTGATACTGATTTCAGTGAAATTGCTGGAATAATTTGCACAGAAGGATGAAAATTCCTTGAAAAATTCTTCCCATGTATCAGGTTTTTATTTCAACAGCCAAGTTGTTTTTCTGCATCATCTATTTGTTCTGCATGTTGTTGAGTTCATGGTCCACCTGATGATATCTGAACTTCCGTGATTCCTTTTCCTAGTGTGCCTTGAGAAGGAAGATCCAGACCATATTTCATTCATAGCTTTTGTTACAAAATCTCCTTCAAGAGTGTAGTGGGAATATTGGGGTAATTATCCAGAATTTGTCTTTGGAGGTGAATATATGAGCTGGTCTACCAATGTGGCTAACAAGAGATGGAGTTTTTGTTTAAGATGTGTGCAGGCAGAATAATGGTAGTTGTTAATGGAGTGAAATTGGATATATATGTATATATAGAGATAGATATAGATATATATACAGGTATAAATACAGCTATAGATTTGGATAGAAAAGGTATTTTTCTCCTCTTGCTGTGACTCCATTCACTCCATCAAAGTTAATTCTAATTTCAGTCCCTCTGTTAGTAAGGCACGTAGGTACATGGAAAAGAGGTTCACAGATATTTATTTGTTCTGGGAAGGATTTGTGCTTTCAATTCTCACGCATCATTTTCTGGTCCATTTAAATATATATCAGCCTCATACATGAACATTTGAAGATCTTTAGCTGTACTCAAGGAAGACTCTTATGTGGTGCGTTTCTAGTACTGGCAAACGTAAGGAGGTAGAGGAATTAAACCCACCACAATGCTCCAGTGCCCCTTAGAAGATGAGGAACATGAAGTATTCCTGTGCACTCACTGATTAAACTTGGGCTGGAGGTTTGCGAAGTGCAGAGTTTTCGAAAGTCTTACTACGGGACTTCAACATCTGTGCAATGGCTCCAGTAACCAGAGTCTCCCAAGGACAAGGATCCCATTTACGCTTGCATTATGCATTGAGCAGAAGGGTGTGATGCATGATGTGGAATGAACAAAATAACTTGTGTGTTTAGGGAAATGCCAAATTAATGAAAATTCAGAAAGCTCTAATGTTGAAAAGGCACACAAATTCCTTGATAGAAATATAACGCTGCTAACAGTTTCAAGATTATTGTTGTCTGAATTTTCTGCTTATTGTGTACTGCAATTAAAATTCTTTTCAACTGAAAAACCAATGTCAAATTAATATTTCCTTTTGGAAAAAAAAATACGAAAGTACACATCTTGTTCCATTTAGCACCATCATGGTCTTTGATCTGGTTCCCTCTGTCCAGTGAAAAAAGCAGATTCAAGTTAATGGGAGCAGGCTAAGACCATATATGTTTGGCATACATATAGAATCACATGAACACAAGTACAGTAAGTTAAAGTAACACACCCACTCAGGCTTCCATCTGCGCTTTCTTCCAAAAATCCCTTTATTTTCTTTTTTTATTTAGTAATTAACTTTCCCATTTTTTCTGTAGTTAAAAGCTGCCATAAGATGAAAATAGACTAAGTCTGATTTTCTTCTCCCGCACTCTAAATAACATTCAGAGGAGACTCAGACCTGGATTCTGAAATCTGTGTTCCCTAAAAGTGCCAGGTGTGACTGTGATTTGGACAACAGTACTATCCACAGAATAGTAAGGAACACACTTAAACCCCACCTGGGTTACCCAGCCGTTGTGTTCTGGCTGTTCTTGTTTATTCCTTGCTCAGAGCAGATGGATAGAAAGAGGCAGGGAACGGGGAGGATCCTTGGCTCCATTCCCTATTCACTGGCCAGCGCAGCTGAGATGGGCTGGGGGATGTTGTAATTTGTTGCTGCCCTGCACCAGAGAGCAGAGAGAGGAGAGCAGGGACTCAGAGGTGTCCTTAGAGTTGGCACTACCCCTTCCTTGGGGTCCTGTGAAGTGCTGAAATCTGATGTTCAGAGCAGTGGTCCCCAATATCCATTGGCTCTCGGGAACAATGCTGAGGAAAGCCGTGCAAGGCAGCAGCATCCTCCTGGGATGCATCCCCAGCTCTGCCCGGGGTACCTTCAGCTTTAACTTTTTAATTTCCTGCATCCCTGAGCAACACAGGAGGGGACGCTGCAGGCTGGGGACCACTAAATGTGTTAAAACTCATTAGATATGAAACAGAAGACCTTTAAAACTAGCCAAGAGTCTCAAACATGGGTGCCAAAAATTAAACACCTAATTCCATATTTAGTTCTTTACCTTAGTTCCTGCCTCATAGCTGTTAATATACACCATGCCATCTCACAGGTGGCCTAATTTTCATAGGCACCAGGCACCTACAACTAACTCAAGTGCTGAGACTGCTCACCTAAGTGAGACTTGTAGTATTTGAAGCTTTTCTGGGTGATTAAACCAGAGTTCCCTCTCTCTCAGCTCCTGAAAGGAGCTTCGATAGAATGACCAGCATTGTAACATATGGCTTAGCAAGGGGAGAAAAAAAAGAAGAAAATGAGTATTAGAAATGGATGGACTAAAGAATACGCAGGATATATCAGGCACATTAACCAAACATATGGTGCTAAATGAGATATTTTTTTTTAAATTGCAAAAAAATTGACATTCCTGGCAGTCTCAAGGATAATGTGACATGGCTGTGATAAATTTAGAAGAATGGGACATATTTTGGCTTGTTCTTGGAAACCTTTTTCTTGCATGCCGACTGTATTTCTTCTTTTATTAACCCATTCAAAGAATGTTTGAATTTTGCTGCTAGAGCACCATGCTAGCGCAACATAAAATGTGAATGATGCTAATTGCTTTGCACTGCCTAACTTTCTGTCATCCTCTCCCCTCTTAAAGGACAAAACATGCTTTGGAAATGAGCTGGCAAGCTCATCTTCTTCTTTCTCTTGGTCAATATTAAGTGATGTAATTAAGCTCCTGTTTGCATATTCTTCTGAACTAGGAAGCAGCCATTTTTTTCTTGAGATCTGATGGATGTGATCACTCAAAATAAAATGTGTCATTACAAACCCCAAACAAAACAAAAATATGGTATAGTTGGACTGTTCCAAACCAATACATCTCAAAATACCCCGAAATAAATAAATAAATAAACCAAACTTGTGATAATAATGGCAATCAGAACGAGAACAAACAAATAGAACAAAAGTAGTAACAATTATCAGTGCTTCAATTTGTCTTTCTACACAATTTTACAGCATAATGTTACATTAAAATCTGTATTTTCACATGAAAACAGCTGCCTCAACCTTATGAAACCCATCCCTATATGCACATGACACTGCTCAGCATTGTCACACTCAAGGTCATTCATCAGCTTCATTGCAGCTCCTGAAGTTCCAGTGTTTGGACACAATCACATGAACTTGCTACAGCTTTAAACCATGTTCCACTGCCTCTCTGCCCCTTTTCCCTACCATGATTTAGGTGAGTCATGCAGGTTTTTTAACACAGGGGCAAAAGAAAAGCTATTTCACTTTTTTAGAAGCTTTATTATCTTTCCCATAATCCTGAAGAGGGTTTGCAGCCAGAGGATATGGGGAAAGCAGGGAGTTCATGAGCCAACTGAACCATACAGTGCACAGACTTGGAGATCTTACTCCTTCCACTCCTTCTATGCTTGCCCAGGGCACAAGTAACTCATGTCCTACCTGGACCCCTGCTGCCCAACCTTGCAGTTGGAGCACTTACGTGCTGGCATATTTTACTGTGACCTTCCCTGTACATAAATTCTTGGACCATCCATGCTATTTTGCACTTGAGGTTGGGTTTGACACTCGTTTGGTGTTTCCATCCCTAGTTCTTCCATCATAAGGAAATCAGGGTCAACAGCACCATTAATTTCTTTGAGTGTCCTTGTCCTGAATACGGACATTCAATAACTGTTACATCCAAACATGCTATTGGAGCAGAAATTCATCAGGCTGCATTGGAATATTTCATCAAGACACCTTAGTTCAGTCTCCTTTTCTCTCTTCCCCCTCGACTGAACCAATCTTTTCTTTTGTCCCTACTCTAAAGTCCTTAAGACCAATATGAAGAAAAAAACCAAACCCAGCCCAATATTTTTTTTGCACAATAGTCAGTTCTAAATTTTGATTTTTAAAAGGTTAAGTCTGTAACCTTTCCTGCTGTGAGGAAAAAGCCACCACGACAGCAAACCCTGTAGCAAACAGTTTTGAGGGAAAAAGCTTCAAGTACAACACTGGAACTCGAACCATTCCCTTACTTTATTTAACTTTCAGAAATATAAACTGCAAAGCCTCACTGAAACCATTAAGACCCAGCAGTGCAGCATATAAAGTACAAGAAGGCTCCTGCTTATTGCAATCAACATCCCAGGGACTATAAAACTAGTGTTATTAAATATAAAGTTAATAATATTGCCCAGAGATAATATTGTCCAGGCCTCTCTCTTTACTTTTTAACAATTAAGTTCTATAAAATGCAAAGTTGGAAATAAAGTGGAATGACTTTGCTAGTGGAAGTTCAACTTCCACGTTATCTGATATTTTGCTTTTGCACCTGAAATCTCAACCATTCTGCACCTTTGTTATATACCTACAGATGTGTAAAATGCCTGATGATCTGTATATACTGGAAATTAGGAGTTTTCAGAAAATGTGCAGATAATCAGAATAACCAGACGCCTCTAGAGCTATAAAAATATAGAGACTAGTACTGACACATTCATACTTTTTATCTATATACTGTGATATTCTTTTATCCAAGCATCAACCATACAAAGAAAAATCTTGGATTTTAAAAGCCTGTTGAAATATATTAATTCCAATAATTTCTTTGATGCCAATGGCTTGACATGGCATCAACAGGAGTTATTCTAATACCAAACTGGTCAGATTAGCATCACACCATTTCTGCCTGTCCATGGCAGAGGTTTCACCCAGTGACAACTTAACTCTGATTTTCGTTGGAAGCCTTTGATATAGTTCAAGGGCATTATACAACTCTGAAATAATTCTAGTGCGGCTTTTAATATCAAGACAAAAATACCATTCACCCTTTAAAAAAAAATTGAAAGCAAAAGAGAAGCACATAAATATATTACTTTCAAATACCTTTGAAGTCAAGAGAGTAAGGGGAGGCAGAATTTGAACTCAGAAAACTTCATTCTCTAGTTGTGCCTTGAGTCGTGCAGCACATTTAAAAGATCCATTTGCAATAATCTACTAAACCAACGAGTGAAAGACAGAACTCATAAAAAGCCTGTAAAAATCCAAATGCTCCAGCTATTACCCATTTCTAAAAATAAAGCAGAGTAGGTTTCAGTAGCAATAATAAGCTGCATCCTATCCATATTTCAGATTTATAAGAAAAATATGGCTGCCTTTTAGTACTCATGGCTCAGAGCAAACCATGGCTGCTTCTGCCTTCAAAAAGACCACAAATAAAAGTGAGCTTTCAGCTTGCTGTTGTGTTCGCTTCATTTGTCCTTTAAGTGTGTCTAGCTGCTTCTGCACCCCCTTTCACAATGCATAGGCTGTCGTTCCATGACCTAGCATTATTAAATTGCACTTATCAATCATTCTTGCCAGGAATGCCATCGCCAACTACATTAAAGAAGTCAGAGAAGTCTGGTTTCAGCAGTCCCTCGCCTTCGCAGACCTCCTCCCTTGGAACGGCTTTCACACAGCACCATCGACCTGTCATTACAGGACCCAGAGGTGAGGCTTTACCCAAGAGCCCCCAGGCAGCTTAAACATGTGCCACGGCACCCAGTGTCCATCCCAGCGCCTCTCCATGGAAAGCCATCACCACCTGTGACCTGCCCAGAGAGAGGCTGCTCTCAGAACCTTGAGAACCCTGAGGATTTAGGTGTCTAGAGTTTGGTTTTGTTAGGCTGGGCTCTTTAGGCAAGCTCCTGATGACCACTCGAAAGTGCCTATGGTGGAAGCACTGGTTTCTGGGGGCTTGGGGTTTTATTTGAAGAGGGTGGGGAAAGGGACAGGATGTGTTGCAGAGAGTGTCTTCTGCTTGTGACCATTCATCACGTTGATTCAGTCCAACTGCTTGAGACTTCTGACATCACTTCTGACCCTCGCCTGTCTTCCAGCACTGTGGCTTTCCTTCTGCCAGTCGTTTATTTTCGTGCTGTTGGTGTCAGCGTGCCGAAGAACCGCCTTGTTAGGGGACTCCTTTGAAGTTGATTCCTTCAATGCTTTGGCTGGTTATCCTCCCAGTACTCTTCTGACGGACTTTCCAAGTAAAAGAGATGTCCTCTGGGTCTAGACATGCTTATACATTTTTGTTAGAAAGATGCATTTGCATTTAGCCTAGAAAACTAAATGTAATTCTCAGTTCACATTTGAAAAAGAACTCACTTGGGCACAGTAAGAGACACAAATGAATGAATCCTCTTACAAACCTCTTTGGAAGATACAAAAATAGGAATGAATGGTTGTGACATGTTTCTTTCTGCTATGAAATTTTGTTTCATTTAGAGAAGATTATTAAGGAATTGGTCGAATGGTGAAGCATAAAAAGGCATATTAGCAATTCATCCTAGAAATTATTTGGAAATGTCTATTTGGCATCAGCGTGGTTTTACTGAGGGCAGCTTAAACTAGGAGGAGCCTCTTTGTCTGCACAGTCCAGGTGATGTGGTGAGAAGTGGTGGAATTGCACAGAGTTGAAGCAAGATCAGACTTGTACTTCATGGAGTTTTGTGCTTTGTTAAATCTACTTATTATAGTTTGATTTGTTGTGGTTAATCCATTAAAATTATTCATTACCCTTAGACACACACCTAGATCCTCAGAAGATGTTTAGGCATCTAAGCTCTGTACAGATTTCCCTTGACATTTGGATCTGAGCTATCTGGCAAATATATCTTCTTTTAAAAGGCTTGCTAATTGGTGATATAAGTATGAATAATATGAAGCTTCCATTAACATTCTATTCAGTGCACATCAGCTGACTCCGAATTCCTGTCTTTTAGAAGTTCAGCCTTTTAGATTCGGGTTGTTGATTGATTAGTTAATAGGCCTTCCTTTATTTAGCTATTTTTTACCTCCCACTAATTTTTTAAGATCATTGACTGCCTCTGTCTGCCCCTGTTTAGACCCTCTGTGTTTTGGATTTTTGTGTGGTTGAGAGAGGAAATATCTCACTGGTGAGGCCTTGTTTAAATCTCATCTACAGTCTGTTTTCACAAGACTTTTTCTGTGCACTGGCAGATATCCATCGGCTACGTGAGAAGAACATTCAATGGCAGCCAGAAGTTGAAAGAGCAAATACAATTATTACAGTCCCAAATTTTGTTTGTTTGGAAGGAGATGTCTTTACTAACTCCATAAAGAAGTAGCACAGTTTTTAATCATCATGGTTCCTAACAGGTTAACCAAAACTGTTCTTCTTCATCTTCTATTTTATGATTGTTCACAAAGTCTCACAGATTTTCAGGAAAAAATCTCTCTGAATTTCTTTAAGTGTCATCATCCTGGAAAAGTCTTCTCTCAGACTTCATTCTTTGCTCTTTTTGGACATTCCTTCTCAGTATTCTTCCAAGCACACTGGCTGTGTTTATTTCTCTGCTACAATGATCGTTCTGTTAGTAAAGGGTAATATACTGAGATGGATTATTTCCTGCAAATCCAGCTTTGTTCTTTATCCCATTGCCTCCAGTGTACTTTAGGGACAGTAAGCACAAGAGAGAAGCTTTTCAGGTATCAGAAGTGGCAGCATAAAGAGTATAATGCAATAGTATAAGAGGATATAATTCAGCGATTCATATCCACCAGTAGTTACTGTAAGTTGTGCCTCTGCAGAAATGATATAGCACACATATGTTACATTCTCTTTGGATACAGGTGCATTAGGTAAATGGTCAGTGGCAGGTCATTCTGAGGGGTCTTCAGAAAACTAAGAGCAGGATTTAATCTTCAATCTTCAGAGAGATTTCAGAGAGAGGAGAGTTGTGAGTAAGTAGGTCACCATCAGAGTAAGCTCCTCAGCCAACCAAACAATCACAAGAAGGTTCGATATCCTTCTCATGTTCATATGTGCAAGTTTATCACTTGGATGTGTGTATGAGATGCATTTGTAAAGCATGATCAAAATAGCAGAGAAGAAGCTGTAGACTATTCATGGCAGGTGTTGTCATTGACAACCAGTGATTTATAACTTCTCAGGAATATTCCCGAATCTTTCACACGCTTTCAAACATCCCTTAGAATACAGTGCACATCATATGCTGGGGTATCCCAGGATACTGAGTGCCCTTCCCAGTCATCCCCAAAGTGAGTCATTCTGGAAACAAAACTTCCTTGGAGGAGGAGTAGATCCTTAAGAGGATTTCTTAGCTCTGAGATGCTCCATCCAATGAACCAGTTGGAAAACCTCTGCTCTCATTAAATTGTCTGGATGCTCTGCGTTGTGGAGGGCTGTGCACTAGCTCCTCTCTGCACTGGTGCTGCTGCCAGTGCTCGGCCCAGCTGGGCAGTAGCCAGCAGAGAGGATCTGAGCTGGCTGACCAACGGACCAGATGTGCAGTGAGTGCTGGCGCATGGATGCCAATGCTTCAGTGACTCCTCAGTAGTTCCAACAGATGGTAGCAAGATCCAAGTTTCTTTGGTGCTAAGCTAGCAAAGTGATTCATGGAGCCTCACTTGATGATGGCAGTTTTTTGGGCATGACTCTATGAATGCACCATATGTCTTCTCTGGACCAGCGTGGTTAGGACTCAGTGCCTGGCAGATGGTAAATTGATCACCTATAGGGTGGCTTTAGCATCACTATCAGTTTTAGAATTTATTTCAAATACATTCAAGCACTCAAATCTCTTACTCCTACGCAGCATACTTTTGTTACCTGCAAATTAGATTATTTGGTGGTCAGTGTAATTCACCACAGCACTCCAGCATTGCAAAGCCATAGTGTATTGCTGGCACCTCACAAAATTTCCCAGACCACTTGAACTTTTTACCAGACAGTGAAGGATTTAAATACCATGGGTGACAGCAGTATTTACATAAGTGGTTTTAGGCTTCCATGTATTGCTACTTACACTCTGGTGACTTTATATCTGGAGCTAAAAGTTAAATTGACCACGATCTTGTAAACCCAGGATGTACAGCAGCCTGTGCTGCAGAGCATTCAAGCATTTCCACAGAATATGACAGTGTGGATCCTGCAAGCCAAAAAGCAAGGGAAAAAAGGCAAGTAAAGAAAAAAAATAACAATGAGATGGTATGTTAGGAAGATAAATGAAGGAGAAAGACAATTACAAGAGGCAAGAAATACAGCACAAAGGGAGAAATCCGAGGAAGTGGGTGTGTGAGCAGAAAGAAGAAGGAATGAAAGTCAACCAGTGGACTGGTTTCCATTATATTAATTTCTCCATAATTACCATCGCCACTGAGACTTTTATCAGGACAAGGGCTGCCAGGGAAACACTGCAGGACAGTACTCTCTGTTCATGCCAAAGTGGCAAAAACTTTATGTCACATATCTGGAAAGATATTGTGCCCTTCTCTATCTAAATTCTCGACTGGGTCACCAAAGTATCAGTGCCTGTTCGCTGTCCTGTCAACCAGCTTCAAGTGAATCAAAGTGATAATTCCTGCTGCACAGTGTAAAAAGACATTTTGTAATATCCTGTTCTGTACAACTCTCAGTGGCTGCTCCTCGGTGCTGTCAGCTGGCAGACTGGTGTAACCTTCTACTTTCCTTTGAATTTTGACAAAAACAAAGTGGTGCAACTTCATTTTGATGCAGACACCTCAGATCAAGGGATGGTAATGTCAGATAGCCAAAAGAGGAGAGAGTCACACCAAAAGGGTGAGAAAGTTGAGGTGAAGCCATAAATAGCACAATGCTGCCCATCAGATGAGTTTACATGTTGCAGTTTACAATGTCAGGATAGCTGACTGTGTAGGAGAAGATTTTGATTTTCTCCACTCAGTTTGCAATAATCTGGTGTTGAAGGAAAAGCAGTTTCTAACAGATGGCCTCAAGGTCAGGGTTTAGCAATGACACGATCCCCAAATTGCCACCGACTGCAATGCCCAGGCAGGGAGGACAGGGAGGGAGGTTTGCAAACGGTTAAAGCTTCAGCTAAACAAAAGTCAGGAACCGTGTAATTAAAACTCTACCTTTGTTGTATTGTAAAGAGTTAGCCTGTGACATAGGAAATATTTAAAGGAGCAGGCTGTTCAGCTAATTTGTGTGTGAGTGAACCGCTTAGACAGTCCTATCCTAAATTAACTATAAGACCACCCACCGAGCCCGCCTCATAAAGGGCCGTGATTGCTCAGCTTCATTTTGTATAACCATTCAATAATTACTAGATAAATGCATAACTAAAAGCTCTATTACACTAATAATTTGTACTGAGATAGATGTGTGGGACACCATGCTGGGTTAATTTGTCATCCCTGCAGCAAACTTCTAAAGAGGGCTCTTTTGCAGTAGAGTTGTGTTAATATGTTGCTCCAGTGAGGACATGTTAGAGCAACAAGATGACTTGGTCGCTTAATCTCCTAAAGAGGCAAAATGCCTGGAGGGTAAGTGCCAGAAAGAAGAAAGGGGGGTGATTAACACAGTGGACCCAGATTTAAACTCATCCTGACAAAAGGAGCTGATCTAACTGAGCAAAAGAACGAAAAAAGGGGAGTGTTAAAAATACTAATAGGATTTCATGCATCCCTAAAAAATTATATAAAAA